TGTGTGTGTGTGTGTGTGTGTGTGTGTGTGTGTGTGTATGTGGAGAGGGGGAGGTAGGGGAGGGACACTAAGCCATGGCACAGAAGTATAGGAGTGGATATGGGGCTTTTGGCCTGCCCCTGGGCCTGCCCACAAATTGTGCCCCCCAGACTCAGGAGGCACCAGTCACCCCTGACTGAAGTTGTATATAGGTAACACCAAACTTCTTTTGGCTGCTGTGATCCCTTCTTGGGATAAGCTTTGAGCCCTGGTGAAACAGCAGCAGAGAAGACATGTAAATATACAGGTACTTTGGGAGGCAGGTGTTGTCTTCCTCCCAAACATCTGGCAACAAAGGCTGGTAAGTGTAGACAAGGCCCTAGCACTTCATTAAAAGGTCATGTTTTGAACACTGTAATGTTTTCATTATTATCTTTTTACCTCCCCTCTATCTTTTCATTAGCCATCTTCAAGCTGTCTTAAATGCTTACACACCATGCTTCCCAGATGATATTGTTATTGCTAGTGACTAATATCTATATTCAGATGAGATCCCAGTTTGCATTCCTTTTTACAGCTTTCTGAAACTCTTGTGTGGCTTTTCATCCCTACTCAGTTGGTTCACAAGTCATTACATGCTTAGCTGATAGAACTGCGGTCTAGTCAATAGTTTGGAAGACTGAAGCATTACAGAGGAAAATGGAGTGGCTTTATATTTAGTAACCTCACATACAGGACAAGAAATCCCTTCCAGGGGCTAATATAAATCTGTAGCAAGACACTGTTATCTACGACAAGGATGATTTATCCTCACAATATCTTTTCTTTTATTTTTAAAGAACCTGCTGTGCTGTGCAGACCAATGGAAAGCAATGTGCTATTTTGTCAGTCCCACAGATGCAGATAAAAATAAACATTCTGCTAAAGCATTTAGTAATTTCTCATGGCCTTGCAGTTCCCCCCCACACCATATAAGTGGTTCCCTCCTTCAAGTCAGTAATAAAAAGAATTCTCTATTAGGCCTTTTTGTATTTTTGTTATATAAATTATATTTATAAATTACATTATAAACTTTAACATTGTAAGGCACTCAATCAATTAAGTGACAAATGTAAGGCTTCCTATGAGACCCTAATTTTGCCCCTTGTGCATGGGTATTATAAGTCTCTTACATGATCATATACATTTCTTTCCCCACAGAACTTCTGCCTCATGCAGTACACAAAATTGATAGTGCCCAGTGACTGATTAGCCATTCTCTGGTTCATTTTATTTCAAAAGAAATACTTTTGACCTCCAAACAAACCATTTATTTTCTATTTCAGGCATTTCCTTTATTCTTTTGAAAATATTTGAAGCCTTTTGACTTTAGGAAAATATTTACTATCCTCTCATTTTTAAATGGATTCCAAGTGTTTGCTGAATTTGAGCCAAATTCACAAGTAGTTTTGGTCATCTTAGAACTGAATTTTTATGGCAAATTTAGCTACTTGCCTGCCAAAATTTTGTTCAGCTCTAGGGATTAGTCAAAGGCAATAGGATGCTTTGAACTTATGTCTTGAACACAGGTTTGTGTAGTTTCCTGGATCAGGGCTCATATTGATAATTTAGCTTAATGCTAAGACAGTTGTTCCTAGCCTATAAAAGGAACCGGTTTACTCATTGGTGATGCATAGGGGGTGCATGTGGGTGCACGTGCACCCCCTGAGATTGGCTGTGCACCCCCTGGAAATACCAGCCGCAAAACCAGAAGTGCTGGCAGAAGTGCACTTCCGATTTCACCGCTGGTGATTTCAGGCTCAGTGATTGGCTGCTATGCGGGACCTGACCCCCCTGGTCAGTGATCATCCGCTAGGGGACCCCCCCACCCTAGTCGGTGATCTGGTGCCCCCCCCCCCGACTCAGGAGGCACCGGTCACCCATGCATTTACTAGAACAAGATTTTTAGTTATGCCTTCCAATGGCTGGAGTGTACAATCCTGATGTGCTATACTGCCTTGTAAGTTATTCCTAAACTCATGTTTCAGCCTTCTTGGGCTGAGGTGTGGGCTAAAGTTTTCAATGTAGAGTTTACATTACTGACATATATTATCACTGTATTGTCAATGTGCAGTACAGAGGCTCTTGTTTAGTACAGAGAGGGCAAGACAAGTCTTATATGAGTGGTACTTTTAGGTTGAGTACATGCATTACACTTTTACTGGTAATTGGTTTATACCTGTAACAGAACAGAAGTTTGGTACACACAAACTACTTTAAAATTGGCAGAACCTGGTCTAAGGGTTGCCCCAACCAAAGGGCTAATGTTCTGTTCATTACTGATCTAAACTATGCCACTTATAGAAAACCATGTAACTTAGATCAATTCTGCCTTAGGTTTTTTGAATATCTGTACCTAGCCTATAGTACTAGCATTGATGATACAATAGTACTTACAGCTGTGTAACATCTTAAGACATCTAAAGTACTGTACAACTCTTGTCAATACATTTGAGAAGGTAGATAATAAAGAATTGCACCTACTTCATACACCTACTTCAAAACAAAGCAAGCCACAACAGTGGAGGATGGTAAAAGCCAGGATTAAAGGTCAGAAATGATCTCACTCTGTGCTCAATGTCACAGTCTGTGCTGCTGCTCCTGTACTAATGAGTGTGAGCCATTACATTTGGACATGCAACCTTTAAAATGTAATTCCTTTTCCTTGCTTATTTCATGGGACCAGAAACACTGGAGCTTGAATTTCTGCCTGGAAGATACTGACTCATTGGTGACATGTAAGTGCTGACAGTGGGGGGCACAACTCCATGCCACCACTGCAGTGTGTGGGGGGGCACAACTCCACACTGCTCCTGCTGCTGCTGGGCATTGGGTCTGGTTGGGCTGAAGCCCCACACCCCACTGTTGGTGCAGAAATTGTGCCACCTGCCACCAGACCCACTACTGCTGGACACTGGCCCTGGCCAGGCTACAGCCCCATTCCCCACTGTCAGTGCAGAAATCTGGGGGACAGGGTCATGCCCCCCATGTCTCTCCATGCATTGCTAATGTACTGACTGAATAATGCCATTGTCTCCACAGCTATGAAAATGGAAGCACTTTGTTGGAGCACCTTTTCCAGGGATCTCAATTAGCAAAATGCATTGTGGAAACGGTTATCCACTGGCACAAGTTACAGTGGTCCTGAACATGCTACATCTTGCATTAATGGCAGTTTAGCTTCTAGGATTAGGTGAATGAGGTGGTAAAACTGTGATATAACTCCCCCTATGACTTCACTTCCTAGGTGTGCTGGTGCATGTAAGGATATGACAGCTGAGCAAACCAAGAAAAAGTTTACAGAAGAGCAGGAGGGAAAAGTACATGTATGTTGGGTAGTAGAAATTATGGTTCGTTCCTGACACTAATGCACAAAGATTACTGGAAAGCCAGAGGTTTCACACATCTTTTTTTGTGAAGTATTAGGTTTTGGGCTCGACTGCACAACACTAGAAGCTCTCACAGGTAGCAATGATAATTATAAGGCTTCATTCATTTAAGAGAATAGTGAGAGCCTAAGAATGTGGTTTCTTGATTCAACATAACCTTTAAATTAAATGACAATATTTAATTTTCAGAGCTGCTTTGCAAGCATAAAAGTTACCCTTGTGGGACCCAAACCGCTGTTCTTTGGGCCTAGGTTAGAGAGTGTTTGAGGCATCCAGAATTCCCCCCTGACCCACAGGCATCTCCTGTGGAACATAGATGATCTCTTCTGTGTGGCCAGTTTTCAATTTCTTTCCTGGTGTATGTATGCCAAATAGGTAGCAAATACCTCCTGTTTTATGGGGGGCGGTTGTTTGTTTTTGATCATTTTCAGTACTCTTTGTCAAGTGACCTCCTAATTAAACTCATCAGGTGATCACGGGCCACCATGAGGTGGTCTGTTGCATACTTATCACCACTTCCCTCACATTTCAAATAACATATTGTAACCATTTCTGTGTTTTAGGGAACTGAATTGTTATCCCTACACTTGGTGCAAAAATTTGTCCTGTCACTTTTTGTTGTTGTTATTTTTTTAATATGGAAGAAAAACATAAGAGAGAAGACAGCTTCAAAACAGAGCTTATAATTTGATGCAGATATGTAGAGTTCCTAATATCAAACAGAATTCATAAGCAGTACATAGACAGCCTCTTCAGAGCCCCACATCTGGTACTAGTTTCTTACATGAATTACAGAGGGAAAAACCCTCAGACCTGCTTTAGCTGTGTCTTATTTAGAAAATTAGGGTTCAAAATGAGCACAGTTGTCTAGCTGTAAATATTACCAATGAGTTATGTGAATTACAGAAAAACTATCCACCTTGTGCAGGTTGAAACCTGTCTTGAATACAGGGGAAATAGAAAAGGGATTTTACCTCCTAAGGCACAGTTCCTTCTTGAGCTACCCCTGGGATGGCACAATACTTACTTGGGGCCTGTAGCTAAGGGCAGACTAATATTTCATTGCTAAGATGCATAAGTGTCACTTATGAAGGTTTTAGGTAGCTGAGTCACCCAATGACATTCTAATTTGGCTAAGCAATCATGTTTGCTTAGCCAAATGCCTTCCTATGTTTTCAACCGCCATGACAAGGTTTTCTTTTATTGCACATGTTCAGAAACAATTTACTATTGTCCTGGTGTTACCAGATTTGCTCATCATTTTGGGGTGTGCTCATTTATTAGGGATATGTTTCTAGGGTCTTTGTAATTCTATCAATGTGCTGCTTGTGTTTCTACATGGAGCTGTATATCTCCCTTCTGCAAGTCCTCACCCCCAGTAGAGCTATCTTGCAGGACTCAGTTTCAATGGGGC